CAGAAGAACACGTCATTATATCTCCATAAAACTTTAGCAACAGGAAAAATTAATATATATTATTTATGACTAAATCAATACATAGCAAAACTATTTTTAAGAAGGCAAGGCAACAATAAAGAGAAAATTCAAGACAAGAAGAGAGAATAGGATATGTGAGCAGGGACAGTTATGTGAATGATATTGAACATACCAGTAACATTCTATTCCTAACACTGGATGATAGATATGTGTTGTTATTCTTTAAATTATAAAATGATATACTTGGTTAAAAAAGCAAGAGAAGTCTCAATTAAAATGGTAAAAAAAAAAATTTCACACTTAATAAACCTTAATCAGAAACTCAGTTCCCTAACAATGACAATCACAACAATGACAATAATTAACATTTATTGAGGACATAACATCATCAGGCATTGTTCTGAAAGCTTTACACACACACACACACAATATATATATAAATAATCACTTAATCCTCCCAACAATCCTACAAGGTGGTAAAGTTATTTTGTCACTACAGATGGAAAACTGTAATTTTGAAAAGTTATATGACTTGCACAAGCTAATAAGCTAACAAGTGACTCACTAGGATTTGAACCCAGGCAATTAGTTATGTTGTAGAGTACTTGGCATAGCCATTCCAAAATTCAGTCTCAATTTGGTATAACTCCTTTTCAATCTGATTTAGATGCCCAACAATTTTTTTCAACTTAACAATCTTAACAAATGACAATTATGACAGAACGGAGACTCTGAACACACGTCATATATATACCATAAACTCTATCTATATATACTGACAGCTTACAACAGATCTTTGTAACCTGAAAATGTTAATTTTACCAAGGTCAAGTAGCATATTAATATATATACTAACCTCTAAAACTACTTAAAAATTTCCTGAAGCCTTACCAGTTGTTTCAAAGGATTTTAAAGCACTCCAGTTATCTTCAGGACTTCTAACCCTAGCAAGCTATTATATGTATCCTCCTGCTACAGGAAACTAGAAAACTGAACAAAATATTTTCAGACACTTGACAACAGGCAGCACGAGACTGTGATCCTGAAAGCAGAAAAACCAATGAGGGAAGCGCTATGACTGGCCTGGCTTTCAGCCTGGGTGCACTTTCTGAACCAGGGTTGGAGAGCCATCGTGAACAGAGCACGTGAGCAGAGCGCAGAAGTTTCGCTGAGTTAAGGAGGCCGACACTGGAGTTTGATAAGGCAAAGGCAGCTAGAATTTGAGAGCCAAGAAGGAAACCAGATAGAGAAAAGGCTCCAGAAATCAACATGGGGGCTCTGAGTTTTTGGCTGATTAATAATCCGTGCATATGTAGGGTGAAACTCCACAAGGGCAGATAAAATTAGCCCTGGAGAAAGGCTACTATAGACCTGCCCCAACAACGTTTACAAACAAGCCTGGAAAGGATAGACCTAATCGACAAAACATAAATGTCTGCTGGGATAAAACAACACTCTCTCTAAAAGAAGACAACATCATGAAAACCTTCCTCAGTGCAATGTTCACAACATCTGGCATCTAATAAAAAGTTACTGGGCATGCTCCGAAGCAGGAACCTATGACCCATAACCACAACGGAAAGCAGCGTAAGGAAGCAGGCTGGAAATGGCAGAGATGAGGGAAGCAGCAAAGACCTTAAACAATTACATGTATTACAGGTATTTAAAGAAAAACATAATCAGGAGAGAAATGAATGGGGAAAAAAAAACAAAAAACAGAACCAGTCACAACTTCTACAGATACAGAATACAATATATGAAATAAAAAACACATAAAGCAAAATTAAGCAGATTAAATACTTCAGGAGAGAGACTTAAAGAAAGATTTAAAATTGTTATTTCTTTAAACCTTTTTTTAAAAGAAAAATCTTTAGAAATTTAAAGACGTAGCAATAAAACTATCCAAAAGGAAGCAGAGAGAAAAAAGATGGGGAAAATTACGACAAGAACCTCAGTGATCTTTGGGAAAACCTCAAGTAGGTTGACACTGATAGAATTCAAGTCCTAGGAAAGGGGGTACAGGACAGAAGAAGCACTTAAAGGAATGATAACTAAATTTTTTTCCAATTTGATGAAAACTATAAATGCACAAATACAGGAATCTCGAAAGACTCCAACTAGGATGAACAGAAAGAAAACCACACCATGGTACATCATAATCAATCTTCTGAACATCTATGATAAAGAAAAAATTCCGAAAAGCAGCCTAACAGCAGCCTAAGTAGAAAAAGACACAGATGAGCAAAGACAAAAATGACAACAGCCTTCTCAGAAACTATGCAACACAGAGGTAATGGGATTACCTCTTTAAAGTACCAAATAGCAAAGAAAAAAACTGTCAAATTAGAAATCTATCATGCAAAACTGAAGGTGAAATGAGGCCTCTTTCAGGCAAACCAACGCTGAGGACATTTGTTGGCCGCAGACATGCACCCCAAGCAATGGTAAGGGAAGCTCAAGAGGAGGGAAAGCGCCATCACATGGAAACATGTACCTGCAGGAAGAAAGGGAGAGAGCTGAAAAGAGAGAATCTGTGGGTAAACAAAAGACTTTTTCCTTACTTGTCAATTTTGTTAAAACAGTAATTTTGTTTAAAACTAAATTAATAATATACCGTGGGTTTATAAAATGTTTAGAAGTAAATGCAGCACTAGGATCAACAGAAGGGAGAGGAGATGTGGCTGTAGACTGTGCTGAGGTTCTAATAGCATACACATATGTTACGTGCTCTATTTTCAAGTAATATTTGTAGTCATGTATTAGGCAAAATATGAACATTATAAATCCTAGAGCTGTGCTTCCCAACACAGTAGCCACTGACCACACGGGCAAATGAAAGCTTGAAATGTGGTTTGTCTGAACTGAGATGTGCCACAACTTACACACTGACTTCCAAAGATTTAGTACGAGACGGAGAACAAAGTCTCTCATTCTGTTTATTTTGACCACATGTTGCAATGACACTTTCATTACACTGGGTTAAATAAAATATTTTTATAATTCATTTCATTTCTTTCTTTTGAAGTTGTAGTGTTGCTAATGGGAAATATGGGGCTCACAATTGTGGCTCACATTATTTTTCTATAGGACGTTACTGCCCTAGAGCAGCCAGCAAGAGACAAAAAGCCATACCTAATAAGCAAAAAGTAGAGACAAAAGGAAGTAGTAAAAACCATCAGTCAAGAGTTAGAATAACCAAAACACTCCCAAGAAGAACTAAGCTAGAAGGCTCACACTTCCTGATTTCAAACTCACTAAAAAGCTACAGTAATAAAAACAGTGTGGTCCAGGCATAAAGACAAACACCCAGATAAGCAGAACAGACCAGAGTCCGATAACAAACCCTGCGCATCTGGTAGAATGACTTTTAACAAGGGTGCCAAGGTCATTCAATGGGAGAAGACAGCCTTTTCAACAAATGATGGTGGGAAATTCTGAACATCCATATGGAAAAGAATGCAACTGTGTACCCTCACCTAGCCCCATAGACAAATATTAACCCAAAATGCATCCATGGCTTACACTGAAGACCTAAAACTATAACATTCTTAGAAGAAAACATCGGGCAAAAGCTTTATAACAATAGATTTGGCAATGATTTCTCGGTATGACACCAAAGGCATGGGCAAGAAAACAAAACAATAGGCAAATCAAACAGTCCAAATTGAAAACTTTCAAAAGACACTAGGGATACAGTAAACAGGCAATCCGCAGAATGGGAGAAAATATCTGCAAATCATATACCAGGATAAGGGATTAATACCCAGAATGCATAAAGAACTAAAACTCAACAATAAAAACCAAACAACACAACTGAACAATAGATGGACTGAATAGACATTTCTCCAAAAATGACATACAAATAGCTAACAAGCACATAAAAAGATGTTCGACACCATGAATCATTAGAAAAATGCAACTCAAAACTATTACAATGTGATGCTACATTACATTCATTAGGATAGCTACTACGGAAAAAACCAGAAAATAGGCCAGGTGTTGTGGCTCACACTAGTAACCCCAGCAGTGTGGGAGGCCGAGGCGGGAGGACTGTTCAAAGCCGAGAGTTGAGAACAGCCTGGGGAACAAAGCAAGGCTCTATTTCTACAGGAAAAAAAACTGGAAAATTAGCTGGGCATGGTGGTGCCTGTAGTCCCAGCTACTCCAGAGGCTGGGGTGGGAAGACCGGCTGAGCCCAGGAGGTTGAGACTACAGTGAGCCAGGATCACACTGCTGCACTCTAGCCGGGGCAACACAGCAAGACCTGTCTCTAAAAACAATAATCATATTTCAAAACTAAAAATACAATTACTAGATGATCCAGCAATTCCACTTCTGGGTTTATACTTCAAAGAACTGAAAGCAGGATCTTGAAGAGATATTTGTACACCCATGTTCCCAGCAGCATTATCCACAAACAGCTAAACTGTAGAAGCAGCCCAAGTGTCCACTGACCGATGAATGGATAAGCAAAATATGGTCTAGTCACACAAGGGAATTTTACTCAGTCTTAAAAAGGAAGGAAATGCTGACTTATGCTGGAACATGGGTGAACCCTGATGCATTATGCTTAGTGGAGGAAGTCAGACACAGAAAAACAAATGCTGTATGACTCCGCTTACATGAGGTACTTAGAGTAGTCAAAAATTACACAGCGAGAACGCAGAATGGTGGTGCCGGGGCAGAGGAAAGGGAGCATTACTGCCGAATGGGTACTGTTTCACAGTATGAAAAGAGTTCTGAAGACGGATGGTAGTAACAGCTGCACCACAATATGAATGTACTCAATACCACTGAGCTGTATGTTCAGAAATGGTTAAGATAATAAATTTTATGTGCATTTTACCACACAAAAAAATATGTAATAAAAAGAGTTTAAAAGAAACATTAAAAATAGGTCAAACTGAAGTAATAAATTTGGTTATAAAACGAGTACCAAACTAGCAGTAATTTTGAAAAATTAAATGGTGTAAACTTACCAGTTCAAAGACAAAGCTCTCTCTTACAGGTCGGACACAGATCACTGCTTCTGCATAATAACTAAACAAAATGGGTAAACCACTTTGCACCTGAGGATGCGAAGAAATGTAGAAGAATTAAATTCCATAAAAACAAGAGCCTCTCTTAGGGGAGCAGAGAGCAGCTTATATGGTCTCTGAAGAGGTAAGGAGAAACAAGAAAGTGAGGGAAGAAGGGGGTGGGGGAGGAGGAGAGGGAGATGGAGAGAGGGGGATGTTGAGAGAGAGTGAGGAGGACAGGAGAGAGGAGGAAAGAACAAAGAACAGATGATAAAAATAGAAAACAGCAAGGTGCTAGATGTGGCAGTTTTGAAGTCTGGTGTTAAAGATCTTTCCTACTCCTCCCCCTGAGAGGTAGGGTTTCAGATCCCTTCCCTTGAATCTGGGTGGGGTGGTATGACTGCTCCCGCTGAGAGAGTGCAGTAACTCTGATTTCTGAGGGTAGGTTACAAAAGGCTATGTAGCTTCTGCCTGGTTCTCTTGGGGACACTCTCAAGAAACCCAGCCATGATGCTGTGAGGAAGCCAAGAAGCCGTGGGTTCCAGATGACAGCCTCATTTGAGGAACCAGCTGACAGTATCAACTAACATCAGGAAAACTAGGGAGTAAGCACTGAGATGACTCCAGCCCCAGATGCTGAATCCTGCCAGCATGCAAGTCTTCCCAGTGGAGGCCCATCACATTGTGTAGTGGAGCTCCTGACCCAGAATCCAAAAAGGCATTAAAAGGATTATTATTTTATTCACTAATTTTGGAATGGCTTGTTACTTAACAATAGCAATTAGTATTAATGATTTAAACCAGCCATGTCAATAATTACATTACATAGCAATGTTTTACACACTAGATGAAACGGCTGCAGTTGTCACAGTAGATAAAACCAAAAACTATATGCTACCTATGAGAAACCCACTTTCAATATAAAGACACAAATAGGTTAAAAGGATGTACCCTGCAAACAGTAATCAAAAGAAAACTGTTATTGTTGTTACTGCTGTTTTAATGTCAGACAAAGCAGACTTAAGAACAAAAAGTATTACCAGGAAAAAAGAGATTTCACAATGATAAAAGGGCCAATTCATCAAGAAGATGTAACAATTCTAAATGTGTTTATACCCAGTAACAGAGCTTAGAAACAAATAAAACAAAAAATGACACAATTGCAAATAGCAATTAATAACTCGTAATTGGAGGCTTCAACATCATCTCTTAGGAGACTGATAAAAACAGACAGAAAATCAGAAGACTACAGAGACCTGAACAACACTATTACTGGGAGACAGTTCTCCACGGTCTGCTGCATTTCTGCTTTTGCTCCAGACCATCTTTTCAATGATATTTGTACAGCCAACCCCTTTGGAAAAGAGACAGGCTCTCATTCAGAAGAAACAGACAGGTTGGTTAACTGTCCAATAATAAAAATAATGCCTTCCTCCAAGTAAAAGGAAGTTTGCCTGCAGCCTCAAATCATAAAAGATTTGAGCAATACAAGCTGTAGGTTCCTCAGATATGACACAAATCCACGTGTGCACAGTATTTACCTACGACTCTCTGCATCTCTCCCATAGGTCTTCCAGGGAGCAGATACAAACACCAAACTCTTGTGGCTTGCTGTGCTGTGATTGTAAAACCCTTTGTCTCTGACCCAGAAGTCCTGCGTCTTCAGCCAGCATGCATGAAACACTGGCGGTCTAACTTGTCACCCTCCAAAAAGGAAGGAAAAAAAATCTCAGATCCTCCACAGTCTTCAATAATTATCAACCATCTTAACCCAACTGACATTTAGAAAATATTCCACCCAACATTACTTTGAAGTTTACATGGAACAATTACTGAAACAGACCAAATTCAGAACCATAAAACAATTCTCAGTGAATCTGAGAAGACTGAAATAATACAAATATATAATCAGACACAACAAAATTAAATTATACATCAGTAACAGAAAGATATCTGGAAAAGCCTCAAATATTTGTTAATTTAAAAACACATTTCTAGGCCGGGCGCGGTGGTTCACGCCTGTAATCCCAGCACTTTAGGAGGCCAAGGTGGCCGGATCACGAGGTCAGGAGATCGAGACCATCCTGGCTAACACGGTGAAACCCCGTCTCTACTAAAAACACAAAAAACTAGCCGGGTGTGGTGGCGGCACCTGTGGTCCCAGCTACTCGGGAGGCTGAGGCAGGAGAATGGCGTGAACCCGGGAGGCGGAGCTTGCAGTGAGCTGAGATCACACCACTGCCCTCCAGCCTGGGCGACAGAGTGAGACTCCGTCTCAAAAAAAAAAAACGAAACAAAAAAAACCACGCTTCTAAATAACCAATGGTCAAAAAAGAAATCACAAGGAAAATTAGTAAAATTTGTTTTACTAAATTTAAATAAAAACACAACGTATCAAAACTCAAGGGATGCACAAAGCAGCCACTGAGGGAAATGTATAGCTTTAAAGTCTCACGTTATAAAGAAAGAAAAGTCTCTGAGCAAGTATTTGTCACCAGCTTAAGAACTAGGGGAAGAAAGATCAAATTAAATACAGAGTAAGTAGAAGAAAGAAAATCATAAAGAGCAAAAATTAAAGAAATCACAAACAACAGATAAAATCAATAAACCCAAAATCTGGCTATTTAAACAAATTTAATTTGTTAAATTGTTGCTCAGTTCATGGGGGAGAAAAAAGGGAGAAGACATAAATTCCAATGTCAGAAATAAAAGAGAAGACATCATTACATATCCTACAGATACTGAAAGATTAAAGGATGTTATATCAATAAACTTGACAACAAAGATGGAATAGATAATTCTTTACATGACAAAAATTATTAAAATTGACTCAAGAAGAAACAGAGAACCTGAATAGAAACTACCTATTTTTAAAAAATGAACCTACAATTTATAAACTTACCCCAAAGAAAATCTGAGGACCAGAAGGTTTCACTAGTGACTTTAATTAAACATTGAAGGAAGAAAAATAAGGGCAGGCCGAGTGTGGTGGCCCATGCCTATTATCCTAGCACTTTGGGAGGCCAACGTGGGAGGATAGTTTGAGACTAGGAGTCCAAGACCAGCCTGGGCAACACAGGAAAACCTGGTTGCCACAAAAATTTCAAAATTAGTCAGCTGCAGTGGTACATGTCTACAGTCCTAGCTACACAGGAGGCTGAGGCAGGAGGACTGCCTGAGTCCAGGAGGTCAAGGCTGCAGTGAGCTATGACTGCACTCCAGCCTGGGCAATAGAGGGAGACCCTGTCTCAAAAAATAATAGTAAGAGTGGATTACCCTGAGGTCGAAACAAAGACACTGTAAGAAAACAATAGATCAATATGTCTCATGAACATAGACATAAAAATCCTTAACATTTTAGCATACAGCAGCAATATATTAAAAAGGTAACACTGCATGACTAAATGGGGACCATCCTGGTAATGAAAAGTAGGTTTAACATTAAAATCAGTGACTGCATTCTCCATACTAGAATTAATAGTATAAAGAAGAAAAAATATATGATCATCTCAACAGATGCAGAAAAAGCATTTAAAAATATGCAGCATTTGATAGGGCGATATCAGTCAGATGGCAGACTAGGATGACCTCTCCGTTCACCCATGGAAATATCAAGTAAACAACTACACACTGATTAAAATGGTCTGTGGAAGCTCTGGAAACCAGTCAAGTATGTGCAACAACCAAGCAAACACTCAATCAAGAAAAAGCCACACTGAAAATGATAGGAAATGTCACGCCGTGCTCGCGTGCACTTGCCCCAGCCTTTCCCTGGCATACCATGGGAGAGAGAGTGACCACCCGATTCCTGGTTTTCTCCCTCGTTACAGAGAAAAGCACGTCTGCAGGCTGCCCAAGGGACGGTTCTGCATTGCCTGACTCCGTTCAGATGGGAATGCTGGGACACTTTGGATCTCAGGCTGAAAGCTGCAGAAGGTAGTGACAAGTGCTGTAGTGCATGAAAACTGCAGACGCCTGTGGCCACCAAGGAAAACAGCAGAACAGCTAAGTCTCTGTGAAGAAGCAGAAGTAAGGCTCTTAGAGAAATTAATACATGTAACAGCAGCCATGTATATGGGGGAATTGGAAAAAATCAAAAACCCAGACAGACAAATCCGAGGAAGACGTATACCCCAAAAAGCATAAGACCTTAGGCCTTTACACTGGACTAACCACTGAAGGTCTTTCCCCACATGGAGCCAGTCTGCAAAAATTGAGGGAAGTGGCTGTTTTTTTTTTCTTCAAATGATCAGTTGTCAACAAAATATCACAAGGCACACAAAGACACAGGGAAACACGGCCCCTTCAAAGGAAAAATATAAATTTCTAGAAACAACCCTAAAGAAATACAGGTTTGACCTGACAAAAACAAGAAATGGGGAAAGGATTCCCTATTTAATAAATGGTGCTGGGAAAATTGGCTAGCCATATGTAGAAAGCTGAAACTGCATCCCTTCCTTACACCTTATACAAAAATTAATTCAAGATGGATTAAAGGCTTAAATGTTAGACCTAAAACCATAAAAACCCTAGAAGAAAACCTAGGCAATACCATTCAGGACATAGGCATGGGCAAGGACTTCATGACTAAAACACCAAAAGCAATGGCAACAGAAGCCAAAATAGACAAATGGGATCTAATTAAACTAAAGAACTTCTGCACAGCAAAAGAAACTACCATCAGAGTTAATAGGCAACCTACAGAATGGGAGAAAATTTTTGCAATCTACCCATCTGACATAGGGCTAATATCCAGGATCTACAAAGAACTTAAACAAATTTACAAGAAAAAATCAAACAATTCCATCAAAAAGTAGATGAAGGATATGAACAGACACTTCTCAAAAGAACACATTTATGCAGCCAACATACACATGAAAAATGTTATTCATCACTGGCCATCAGAGAAATGCAAATCAAAACCACGACGAGATACCATCTCACGCAGTTAGAATGGCGATCATCAAAAAGTCAGGAAACAACAGATGCTGGAGAGGATGTGGAGAAATAGGAAAGCTTTTACACTGTTGGTGGGAGTGTAAACTAGTTCA